AGATCAAACAGTAAGTTATATAAAACTTAAATCTGACTTTGCATCAAACATTCACCATAATCCAACGTAGCAATTAGCATGCCTAATGAAATCACTGAGGTTTGTCCAACTGTCTGTGGACTTTGTCGAGTGTGATTCCCACTCAGCACCACTCCATATTAGAGAACTTCAGATGCTCCAGCCTAGTAACCTATACAAGCTAGTTCTGTGAGAACCAGAGAAGCAATCACATGCAAAATGGAAGGAAAGGAGGGATCCTGTGTGTGTTTGCTCTTCCAATGTTTCATTACTCTTGTGATAGATTCAGGTGGGTAGCTGTGCTGGTCTGAAACAGCAGAACAAAGTTTGAGTCCGGTGGCACCTTTAAGACCAATAAAGTTTTATTCAAGATATAAACTTCCATGTGCATGCACACTTCTTCAGATACAATGAAATGGAAACTACCAGTCCATACATATAGGTAGAGGGTGAGCAGTAAATTGGCATACAGTATAATGAAGATGTTTAATAGATTCAAGGACCAAACAGGTATAACAAGCTTAGTTGATATGGTTACCATTTGTTTGTGTTTAATTCCAGGGGAGATGGATGGGCATATGTATCCTTAATTGTGAAATATTGAGAGTAATTAACTGAAACCCTGATATTTTGCTCCTTCAATTTCCTCTCAAGCATGGAGGCAACCTTACAGCATCTTCTTCTTTGAAGTGGGGTCACTGGCTGTATAGAGTTATCTCATCTGTCCCCAGACCAGAGAAATGCATTCCAATCTACCATTCCAAATCACATTACATTCTACTATTAATTACATTACAATCTAGTATTTTAATCTATTATTCCAAATAATAAAATAAAATAAAGAGGATTTATGGCCCTTCTGGGGATTGATGAGAATACAGATGTAAGGGCTGAATGAGGTTACCATATGTAGTGTAATAAGAAACCAATACCCTTGTTAAGTCCTGGGGATTTATTGGAAAGAATTTCAGGAACAGACTAGAAAGGGAAATTACTGAGTTGAAAGTTATTACAACACTCAGAACAATGGAATCCTCAGGACTTAACAGGGATATTGGTTTCTTAGCTCACTACATATCCTAACCTCATTCAGCACTTACATCTTAAACTATATTGGTCTTAAAGGTGCCACTGGACTCACTACTCTTCTGAGCAGACCATCCAAGAATATATTTTCCAAGAGAGGCAGCTACAGTGAAGTTTGCACAACTTGCTGCTCAAAACTGGGGAGAATCATTTACTTTGTAAAAACCACGTAACAGATACAATCAAAATACTGCCATTCTCCTGACTTTTATTTGGAAGCGTATGAGTGCTTTTCTTGCACAAATACAGCTTTTTTTGCACAAACTAGTTAATACAGAGATTCTCTTTCTCACCCAGAGCATGGAGATGGATCTGTCACTGGTCTCAGGACTCAGTGGTGACCTCTCTGCTTGACAAGTGTGTGGTTTGTACTCTCCAAGGTATTAGCACTCTCATATGAGATAGCAGGGTGCAATAGTTAGTGTGTTGAACAGAGACCAGAGACTTGGGTTCAAATCCATCCACAGTAATGAAATTCACTGGATGAACTTGGGCCAGTTGCTCAGCCTAACCTACCTATCTCATGGGGTTGTTGTGAGAATAAAATCTATGTATGCCAATGTTAGCTCCTTGGAGGAAGGATGGGATAAAAACAGATTGTGCAAGCTAAATTACATATGTAACACAGTATGTTTTCATGTAGTTTTGCCTCAGAGAGCCATGGAGTAGGCAGTAGCATAATTAAAGTAATGCAGGCAGGGGTAATGGTCTATTCTCCTTGTCACAGATATATCCAGAAATTTAGGGGTACAGTTGCTGGTCTTGACCAATAACACCATCGAAGATGCTTCTGTAGGTCAGAATCAGAGCAGACCTAATTTCTCAGCTAAACACTGAGACATGCCAAATAGTTCAGAAAATCCTTTGAGAAGGGTAAAGAACAAAGGAGTAACAGAAAAACATGGCTGTTAGTAAACTAGAAATAATATAATATCAATATATAAAATATATTTTTGATCCCAAGTGTGAGAAGTGACAGAGAATGGTAAGAATGTCTACCTAAATGCAAAACTGTAGTTCAAAGATGGGTGTATTGGTTGGAGTTCGATAGCCACATGAATGAGAGTCAGTTTGGTGTAGTGGTTAAGTGCGTGGATTCTAATCTGGGAGAACCAGGTTTGATTCCCTACTTGCATCTGCTGGATGACCTTGGGCAAGTCATAGTTCTGTCAGAGCTGTCCTTGAAAGTGCAGTTCTTGAAAGAGCTCTCTCAGCCCCACTTACTTCACAGGGTGTCTGTTGTGGGGCGGGGAAGGGAAAGGAATTTGTAAGCTCCTCCGAGATGCTGAGTGAAGGGTGGGGTATAAATCCAATCTCTCTCTCACTTGTAATTCCTATTTTGTTTATTTATAAACTATGATAAAGAGTAGCAAGAATGAATTAACACAGGTTTTATATATTTTAGGAAAAAATGGATCTAGATAACTTTGTATGATGTTTGAAGATATAAAATAATGTCAGCTAAGAATGTGAGCACTGTCAGGAGACAATTTTGTATATCTATTCATACGGGAAATTGGATTGATCTGCAGTGTTTTCTCTGAAGATACTTCTTGCCTGTAACCTGTTTCTTTCAGGAAGAAATAATTAATGAGCTCATATATTTTCTCTCCTTTAATGATTTATGTAAAATCAGTGGACGGTATTATCGTACCCTTTTAAGTGCGTACAGTTGTACAAAGGTACTGCGGTGGCTCAAGTGGTTAAGACGCTGAACTGCAGGCTGTGGAAGGTCAGTAGTTCAGCAATTCAAGACCCGAGTTGCCGCATGACGGAGTGAGCTCCCGTCTCTAGTTCCAGCTCCTGCCAACCTAACAGTTCAAAAGCAAGAAATTGCAAGTAGATAAATAGGTACCACTTAGGTGGGAAGGTAACAGTGTTCCGTGCGTCTTGGTGTTTAGTCATGCCGGCCACATGACCACGGAAACGTCTTTGGACAACGCTGGCTCTTTGGCTTTGAAACGGAGATGAGCACTGCAACCCTAGAGTCGGACTTGACTGGCTTTCGAGCAAGGGAACCTTTACCTTACAACTGTACATATGTTTTAATAGAAAGATAAAATGGAGGCAAGATTCTCTAGTAACAACTTTCCATCCAAAAGGAACCAAAAAGCTTGTTGGGGTATATGTCTTGCCAGCAGATTAATGATCTGCTATAGGAAAGCTAACTAGACCACTAGAACTTCTTAAGTGCATGCCTATATCTGAATCAGGCCTGACCAGAGTTATATGGAATGTCTTGCTCATGGCCATAAGCACCAGAAACATTCCCTGTCCATGCCATATGCTGCACTTGGCTATTTATGACATAAAATATGAAAAGAAGACGAATATTGGGCACTTAAGTTTGTTGAAACAGTGCATATGGGTAAAAATCATCCTTTTTTATATTGTACTCCTTGGTCTTCATCTATATATCTAATAGCCAAGTTACAAGATAGTTCTGTGAGAAGTATACTGCCAGAGAAGCAATCACATGCAAAATGGAAGGAAAGGAGGGATCCTGTGTGTGTTTGCTGTTCCAATGTTTCATTACTCTTGTGACAGATTCAGGTGGGTAGCTGTGTTGGTCTGAAACAGCAGAACAAAGTTTGAGTCCGGTGGCACCTTTAAGACCAATAAAGTTTTATTCAAGATATAAACTTCCATGTGCATGCACACTTCTTCGGATACAATGAAATGGAAACTACCAGTCCATACATATAGGTAGAGGGTGAGCAGTAAATTGGCATACAGTATAATGAAGATGTCTAATAGATTCAAGGACCAAACAGGAATAACAAGCTTAGTTTATATGGTTACCATTTGTTTGTGTTTAATTCCAGGGGAACACATAGTGAAGGAAATGAATATGTCAAAATTGGAGATGGATGGGCATATGTATCCTTAATTGTGAAATGCTGAGAGTAATTAACTGAGACCCTGATATTTTGCTCCTTCAATTTCCTCTCAAGCATAGAGGCAACCTTACAGCATCTTCTTCTTTGAAGTGGGGTGACTGTCCCCAGACCAGAGAAATGCATTCCAATCTACCATTCCAAATTACATTACATTCTACTATTAATTACATTACAATCTACTATTTTAATCTATTATTCCAAATAAAAAAATAAAATAAAGAGGATTTATGGCCCTTCTGGGGATTGATGAGAATACAGATGTAAGGGCTGAATGAGGTTACCATATGTAGTGTAATAAGAAACCAATACCCTTGTTAAGTCCTGGGGATTTATTGGAAAGAATTTCAGGAACAGACTAGAAAGGGAAATTACTGAGTTGCAAGTTATTACAACACTCAGAACAATTGAATCCTCAGGACTTAACAGGGATATTGGTTTCTTAGCTCACTACATATCCTAACCTCATTCAGCACTTACATCTTAAACTATATTGGTCTTAAAGGTGCCACTGGACTCACTACTCTTCTGAGCAGACCATCCAAGAATATATTTTCCAAGAGAGGCAGCTACAGTGAAGTTTGCACAACTTGTTGGGGTATATGTCTTGCCAGCAGATTAATGATCTGATATAGGAAAGCTAACTAAACCACTAGAACTTCTTAAGTGCATGCCTATATCCGAATCAGGCCTGACCAGAGTTATCTGGAATGTCTTGCTCATGGCGATAAACACCAGAAACTTTCCCTGCCCATGCCATATGCTGCACTTGGCTATTTATGACATAAATATGAAAAGAAGACGAATATCGGGCACGTAAGTTTGTTGAAACAGTGCATATGGGTAAAAATCATCATTTTTTATATTGTACTCCTTGGTCTTCATTATACTATAATATCTCAGGCTTGTTTTAATTTGTAGTTAGTATCATTACTTTTTAGCCAATGAGGATAGGCCTCCCAAGTATATCATTAAGAGCAGTTTCACAGAAACACTCACAGATATTTGCTGTGCCCTTGGGGATGGGTAGATATGAGCCAGGACTCCAAGGTCGGCCCTGATAGTTCTTCTTGCATTTACCACAGTCTGGGCCTGTTGTGTTGTGCTCACATTCGCATAATAATTTTTTGTTTTCTTCTCTGCAGCCGGTGGCATGAAGGTTACACTTGCACCTAAAAAATAAAATAAAGGTGTTATCACACATGGAGGTTTCATTTCAGGCTGTTATGCTCCAACTGGTATTCAGATCATGGTGACATACATACCACTGACAACAAAAACTGTGCTCTCATTGTTGCTATTTTAACTTCATTTTTTTTAAAAAAAAAGAAAACTCCCCAGAGCTATTTCAAATCACTCTCATACATAAATACTGTGGCAACTAGATATTGCTGTTTGGTGTGTAGTAATCAAACATAAGTAAACCACAGGAAAACATCTAAGGTCTGATTATGAAAATAAAGTGCTCAGACCAACAGAGCTAGTTATAATTAGAGTGGGTTCACTGTATCAAACCTCCTAGCATAAACTAGCTCAACTATAACTTCTTCCCCACACCGGTGGCTGGGCAGGCACCTGCGGCGCGGGAACTCCCGGTACTTGCAGCGGAGGTCCCGTCGGCGGCTGAGCAGGCACCTGCGGTGCGGGAACTCCCGGTGCAGGGACAACTTGTTGCTGCGCGGCGTGTGCGTCAAGGAAATTGGCCATTCTAACGTCCATCATTCCCGGCAGAGCTTCCATTACATCCTGGAATGCCCTCAACAAGTCCCTCACCGAGTATTCCAGTTCCTCCAGTCGTTCCCCGGTGGTTTCCTCAGGGATCGGTTCTCGACGTTGATAGTCCGGGGGTGGGTCATAGTCTTCTTCCGTTTGGAAGCCCCCGGCTCCCTCCGAATCCTCTACGTGGCCTCGGGGCCCCGATGGCTCGAACATCCACTCCTCGAGGTCTTGCTTGGAACTCCCCTTCTCCGAGGTAGCCCCCGGCTCTGGGAACAATCCCTTGTCAAACAGACTTTCACGTAATCCGCTCCCTCGACGGGAGTACACCTCTCGGGTGCCCTGAGTGTTGTACATAGTCCAGTCATCCTGCTGTTGAGTCTTCCGCGGACCCCAGTGCGAAGGGGTCGGAGGCGGCCAAGACAGATGTGCAGGCCGGCGGGGAATCGTTCCCCCCACGGCACCCTCCAGCGAGGCTGCAGTCACCAAAGGAGCGGAGGTGTGTGGGACCGATCCTGAATCCCCCTCCGTTTTAGGTAGGTCTCCCTCAGCTCTGCTCATGATCTTGCCAGATTCGGAACGATAGGAGAAAGGGAGTTCTAACAACATGTTGGATCCCCAAGCATCGAGAATAAATCCACGTTTTCAAGAAAAGCAAAATTTATTTCAAAGCGTTGAAGACATACTCAAACACGTTCTTTGTTAGAACTGGGGATACACAGGTAGGGCGAGCATAATAAAGGAAATTCAAACAGACACATATCCAATGAATACTATTCCCGCTGGCGGGCTAATGAAACGGTTGCGCGCCCCGTCCATGGGAACCAGGCAGAACATCAGACAAAACACAGGTGCAGTTCTCATGAGATAGCAATAGGCAAGCATTACAGCATCGTCTCCCCCACACATCCACCAGTAGTTATCTTATGCATTCCAGCACAGAAGCAGGATAGTAGAAACAAACCGGGTGCAACAGGGTAAAGATATGTACACAGAGGTCACAGAAAACAGAATGGCAGCTTGCTGACACTAGCTCAACTATAACTTCTTCCCCACAAAATCTGGCAACTGTAGTTCTGTGACTGGTGTGGGAGCTAGAAACACAAAGCTTCACAAACAGAAAAATCTCAGCATCTCACTGAACTAAACTTACAAGGATTCATTGGGAAAGACTTGGAAGCTGACGTGGTGTGTATGTCCACATATCTGTAGTGTCAAAACTACCTTTGTTTTCCTAGGAATTAAATTTTCTCCTAAATGAGAACAGAATTTGCTTCAAAGGCCAATTATTTACTCCAGCATGGCTGTCATCTGTTTTTCTGATAGAGCTCCACTGCATGAAAGGTAGAAATTCAGCAGGTAAAACTCTGCTCTCACTTGAAGATCCAGGCTGTGCTCAGATGTCACTGTAAGTAAAGATTTGTGACTTGAGGCTTACTGCCCTACTAATGTAATTAAGGAGTTCTAGTTTCAGACAAGCGCCATTCCCACCACTCCAAGACACAAGAGCTAGAAAAACAAGTTGGTAACCCTATTTGATAATACAGCTGTTAGATCCTAGATTAGGTCGAGGTCCTATAACTGTTTATGGCTAATCCTTTGTTATGATATTGTTTTACAGGCAAAGGACACACTAATGCCCAGCCTAGCTCCCATTTGAAACCTATAATTGGGGTGGCAATGATTCAGATACCTGGAAATCAGGTACCCCCAAATCTGTGAAGGCCACTGCTCTTCTACCTAGACAAATGGGTACATTCAAATCGAAACAGAATCTGCAGTTTCATGGGACTTCAATACTGCTGCATTCCCCCTGGTCCTTTTCTGTGAGGGAATAAATACCAAGGCCCAGATCCAACTCCACGAGGCGCTGGACCACTGCAACCTCTAAAGCACCTTAAAGCTACAGCTGTGAAACAAACAGTCCTACTAGCAAAAAATTATCAGGAGATTTTGGCCCTACATGAGGCAGCCAATGGCATGCCTCATGAGGGCCGCTGTTGCCTCCTCGAGAGGAGGAAGGAAGAAGGGCTGCAGTTGCAGTCTGGCCTCCTGAAGAGGGGCGGAGCTCGGCGTGAGTTGGGGCTCGCACAAACTAGTACAGCTGTTGTGGAGAAAAATTGCTTGTATGAATTCAGTGCACAAATGAATTTATAAAGCACATATGTCTACATGTATTTCTTTAGAGAAACCATGGTTTCTCTAAAACATCTGGCTATCCATATTGGTGGCTTGTTCCAGATTTGGGACCAATTCAAACAACTTTTTTTGAGGTGAATAAGTTCACAGAAGGCATTTTTTTCCTTTCAGTCTTTCAGAGTAGAAAAGAGTTGTAAAAATACTCCAACCTTGTAAGGCTGCAGGTCACTTCACCTGATAATTTTCAAAATGTGGCTATGTATCAGCTTAATCACTTCACCATGGGATGCTTCAATCAAAATCTATTGCACAAGTCTATTTCCTTAAATAGAATTTCACCAAAAATTGGTTTGAGGAACCTATGTTGTTAAAAAATTTAAGGAAAGCCTAGTTAGTTAATATTTCTCAATATTTAAATTTTATTTAAATTTTGGGCACTCCTGGGTCATTTGGAGATTAATTCACCTGTGCATGTAACCACAGTTACCCTGTAAGTGGACAGGACCAAATATCAAATTGTTCATTAAAAATTTCCTCTAACATGCTTCTAAATGAAAATCAGCACTACAGCATTGTTATTTCTTTCCAGTAGATGTCAGAAATGGCTTAAAATCGCCTTCAAACAGAAAGCTGGAATGATGCCCAGGTATTTAGCAACCCTGGTTGATTATTTTCCTAATGATTTTACATCCGGTGGTTGGAAAGACTCTTCTGTGGGCATTTGTCACCTGTTCCACAGAGTGACTAGTAATTAGGCAAAGCAACACAAGGAATGGGTATGAATATATATTTTTTAGCACGTGCAAATGAACAGCTGCCAACCCTGACTTCCATTTAAAGGAAATTTGACCTGAAGCAAGCAGCAGCCCACACATATATCTCTTGGGTAAAGCAAACTTATGGTAGATTTAAGGAGCTTGAAGATAATAGAAAATAGAAATGGTAACTGGATAGATGAGCAGGCATTTCCTTCTGCAGTTTAAATAAACGACATTTGCTGAGTGGCTGCTATTTAAATGATAGCTCATTTCTAGCAAGGAATATTAACAAACACCTTTTTCTTTTTAATTAAAATTGGCAGGAAAATATTGTGATAAGCTAGTCTAGGAAACAGGCTCTGTTAAGCAGACTGTATAATTATTCTATATTTGTGGTGCTAGACTTTCTTACAAAGGGCTTATTTTCTTTGCACACTTCTGAGAAAGGGAGTTCTACGTATGTAAATATACAGAATACCCAGCTCGTTATATTGCTTTTGATATTGGAATAACTCATAAGCAGGGTTTATTAAAGGAGGCACAAAAAAGAAGACCCTCACCATTCTTGGAGTTATGACTCACAATTTCACTTATTCGTGGTCTGCAGTCCAATCATGTCATCTGGTTTCCTGACTATTTTAACTCCCGCTGTGCTATCATCATAATCAATCATTACATTGTTACAGTTTGCAGAACATTTGGTTGTTTTGATGCTGGGAGGCCTCCCAGGATTCACTTTTGTGGTGATCGCAGGAACACATCCCCTGCAAATTGCAAGGTCTACTGTACCAAAAGCAGTTCAGAATGAGAATCAAATTCAAATATGGAGAAAAACCAACCCCTACATTCTGCTGCCAAATCTACCACTTCAGACTGCAGGTGTGTGAATGGTGTGGCATGTTTGTGTACCCCCACCCCTGAGTGGTACAATGCAAGGGAGAAAGTTAGATTCAAACCCTTCTTCCTAATGTGCTAGCCTGCCAAGTTTAGGTAATCATTTACATGGGGGGAGATTCTCTGAAGCTGTATAGTCTTGGAACAAATGATCTGCTTGCTTTCTCTGCATGTCTCAACTGGCTCCAAATTTTATTGCAATGTGATATTGTTGCTTGAGGATTCACCATCAGTGGATTGAATCCCACAAATTTATTCCACAAACACTGGCATTTTTCTCTGACCAAGGAGTCATCCCCTGATGCACAAAGGTGCGTATTATTTCAGAGGAAGGCTTGCTCTGTCAGAGGAAAGTCCCTCTGCTAGTGGAACCATAGGATATTTGCAGTGTCTGTCCTATGCAGCTCTCTATCATTCCGAAATGGTCTGCCAGAATTCCAGTCAAACTATTAAGACACCATAGTGGGGATTAATTTTCAATAGTAAATCAGGGAAGTTCCTCACTGTCCTGGGACAAAGCTGAGAGGCATATAGGAACTTTGCATATAGGAAACCTCAAATTCAGTCCTTGGCACTTTCAGTTAAAAGGCCATCAACTATCAGGGCTGCAAAGACAGCAGCCTGAGATCCTCACCAATAATTGCCAGCCAGTAAAGACTGTAACA